ATTGTAGCCGTCTTAACATTGTAGTGAAACACATTAGTCTTGTGTTTGCAGTACAGACAAATCTGTTCCTCAAGAAGAGCCTCAGGCAGGTTCTCCAGGAGGTATCAATTGTGTTTATCATCTCCAGGTTTTTAAACAGTAATGATGAATAGTAATATAAGAGTTGATTTGCCGGGCGCGGTGGCTCAAGCCTGTAATCCCAGCACTTTGGGAGGCCGAGGCGGGTGGATCACGAGGTCGAGAGATCGAGACCATCCTGGTCAACATGGTGAAACCCCGTCTCTACTAAAAGTGCAAAAAATTAGCTGGGCATGGTGGCGCGTGCCTGTAATCCCAGCTACTCAGGAGGCTGAGGCAGGAGAATTGCCTGAGCCCAGGAGGCGGAGGTTGCGGTGAGCCGAGATCGCGCCATTGCGCTCCAGCCTGGGTAACAAGAGCGAAACTCCGTCTCAAAAAAAAAAAAAAAAAAGAGTTGATTAATTGAAATCTGGCCCACTTAAACACATGTCCTATTTTATCTTTCTGGATAGCTATTGTCTATTCTCTTCTTATAGATATATATTTTCCCTTTGCTAGAAAATAATTAAATTATGCAAAAATATCTGAATTGATTTCGAGGATAAGCAAAATGTGCATCTAAAGAAAAAAAAGAAGTAAATTTCTTATTGTATATAGAGAATATTATTACAGAGAAAGAGGAAGAGGAGGACGAAGATGAAGGAGGAAGAAGGAGGAGGAGGAAGAAGAGGAAAGGAAGGAGGAAGGAGAAGAAGTACTTAAAAGGTCTAGCATTACATCAGGGAAAACAGTAAGAAGTAAAATGGATTCTGCCAACTTTGAAGTTTAATAGGATATTTTATAATAAAGGATAAGAGAGGCAGCTATGTTTGCATTAAATGGCTGAGGTACTACCTTTCAGCAGTTAAAGTTCATCTGTGTAATTAAATCAACAGCAATCAGAACAGCCCCTTTGTGGAAAGGTCATGCATCATTCCGAAAGGCTGAACTCACAGGCACATAGAGGAAAAAATAATGAATGGCCATAACATGGGGCATTTCTCCCTGACTTAATACTCCAACAGCATAGCTAGAAATTTAGATAGGAAAGTTCTGATTAAGATTTATATGAGGAGCTGTAGGACATATTGAGATATTATTCAACATTGAGACATACATAATGGGACATTATTCAACAATGATCATATTTTCCCTTCTCTTTTGTTCTCTGGAATTGATAATTTTATGTTCTCTTGCTTTGTGTTCTGGTTTTTGGTGGTTTCTTTTTTTTAAATAAATCTAACAATTCTCTTATTGGTTTCTATAAGATAACACTTCTCAGAGACTACAGTGGTAATAAAGTCAGTTAAAATATGTTTAAAATTTAAAAACATATCGAATTGATAAGTTACATTGTTAAGCCTTAAATAACTATTTTAAAAATAATGCAAAAAATAATTTTTTTGTTTACCATAGAAATCCTATACTCTGAATGTAAAATAGTGTTATAATTTAAATCAAATTATCAATTATATTTATATTAGAAACTATTTTCCGGTTATACTTCTTTTAGCCCATTGTATAAGAAGAGAAGAAAGAAAACAATATAACTTTCTTAATGAGAGAACGTTCCAGTGGAAATTATTCTAAGTGCTAAGGCTATTCACATGCATCAAAATCAATTGAAGAAACGAAGATCATCATCAGCAGATTAATATTGTGTATATAATTATAAATATGATTTTAAAAGAAAAACATTTCTAAGAATTAGGCACCAAGTATTGAATTAAGGGGAGTGATCCTGTAGGTGATTTAGGAAAGTAGAAACTTTTATTTTTACAAGTAAAAAAATAAACAAAAACCTCTTTCCAGCAAAACACACCAATTCTCAGTCAAAGGCTGTACAAATAGAATGAAACCAAATAATCTGCAGTTGTATTTTTTAAACATAAAATGCAAGCCTGAATAAGTGGTTTTGAACATTAGGTATACTGAAGGTGGCTTCCAACTATTCAACGTATTTGCCCTAACAGAACTCATATCCATGAAATTAATGTGTTTATATTTTTATTTTCATCCCTAACCGAGGGATCACTATTGTTCTTTTCCACTTTGGTCACAGTTACTTTCTTTTCATCAGTTTTGTACTAAAGATGAGGAATAAGCTAATTAAGTTGCTTTGACGACATTAATAAAAATAATCCTCAGAACAAAATAGTTTTAAGAGCTGCTCATCTGAATTATTCAGTTACATGGGAATAAAAATTTATCTTAGTTTTTTGGTGATCTTTAATCATGTGTAGCCTAGCTGAAGATGAACTTGGAGTGTGAGTACTCATCTATGAGGGAAGCAAAACACCCCTGAATGGTTTTCAAGTTCAACCTTCAGACTTTTTAATGCAGCTTGTTATACTTTACATGATCAAAGGAAGGTTGAACTTCTATGTCTAGTCACTTTACTTTACACTGAGTGACCACTATCCAACTGTTAATTTCCTGGCAATGCTGTGATAAAACATTCTATCCTATATTCACTGCCCACATCAGGGAAAAACATATTTTTTCAGATATTATTGTCATCTTCTGCAAATTTCCAGTGAATTTTGCTGTTGGAGGCATACTTTTATGGGCTTATCAACATAGTTTTTATATAGCTGGAATCGTTAAATCTTAAAAAATAGAGAATAAATTATTCCTAAGCCAGCAATAACAATGTGTAATTTTCAAAAGATACAATTTATATTAATATTATAAAAAGCTATAATTTATATTGGCACCAAATATTTTGCTAACTGTATATATTAACATTTGTATGAAGCTATATATATGCATATATTAAAACAGTATTTCTAATGTATGTGTATATGTGCTTGGGTATACATATTTGAGCATGTGTGTGTACATATGAAAGCATGCACGTGTATGTGTGTGCCTATAAAATGCAGCTAACAAATGAGAAAAAACAGTTTGAGGTGTGGGCATAGCGGTTCATGCCTGTAATTCCTGCACTTTGGGAAGCTAAGGCGGGAGGATCGCTTGAGGTTAGGAGTTTGAGACAACCTACGCGACATTGCATGACTCTATCCACAAAAAAAGTTTTTTAAAGAAATTACATGCACATAGTGGTACAAGACTGTAGTCCCAGCTACTTGGGGCGTTTAGAAGGGAAGATTGCTTGAGTCTAGGAGTTGAAGGCTGCACTGAACTATGATTGCACCACTGCAATGCAGCCTGGGTGACAGAGTGAGATCCCATATTAAATAATAATAATAGTAATAATAATAATAATGAGAAAATTAAGATTCTATATTGTGTTTCATTGAAAAAATTAAAAAAACAAAAGTATGAAGTAGTCATGTTTAAGAAAATCCTCTATCTTTAATATAATTGTAAATCCCACGTACATGCTATCAGATTCCTTACAGATTTCCCTGTGGAACTTAGAGAACAAATTCTCTCACATAATAAAGACTAGCGCCTTCTAAAACACTGTGTAGATTTTGTTGCATTATTTAAAATGCTAAAATCTACATGTTGCTGGATTTACAACCTGAGGCCAAACACAATCCAATTTCTATTAAGCAGACCCATCCTTGTAAGATTTGAAAACCTCTGGGAAAACAATTGCATTTGGAGTTCTTGCTTCTGCTGACTGACTTGGTTAGGAGTGAGTTCAGTTTTTCTGCAACAATTACGGTGCATATTATTATAATTGCCTTGTTTGTAGATATCGAGTGGCAGAACAGAGAGTGAAGTGCGGCATTCATTTGAATCTGCCTATGGATTTGAGTGTGTGTGTCCCCCTAGATTTGTATGTTGGAACATAATCTTCAAGGTATTAGGAGGTGGGCAATTTGGGAGGTAATGATGTCATCAAGGTGAAGCTCTTGTGAATGGGATTAGTGCCTTATTAAAAAATACCCCTGAGGCCAGGTGCAGTGGCTCAAACCTATAATCCCAGCACTTTGGGAGGCTGAGGTGGGTGGATCACAAGGTCAGGAGTTCAAGGCCAGCCTAGCCAAGCTGGTGAAACCTCATCTTTACTAAAAATACAAAAATGAGCCGGTTGAGGTCATGGGCACCTGTAATCCCAGCTACTCGGAAGGCGGAGGCAGGAGAACTGCTTGAAGGTGGGAGGTGGAGGTTTCAGTGAGCCAAGATTACACCACTGCACTCTAGCCTGGGCAACAGAGCAAGACTCGGTCTCAAAAAAATAATAATAAATAATAAATAAATAAATAATAAAAAACACCCCCAAGAGCTCCCTTGCCCCTTTCACCATGTGAGGATACAGTGGGAAGGCACTATCTATGAACTAGGAAGTGGCTCCTCGGCAGATACTGAATTTACCATGCCTTAATATTGAATTTCTGGCCATCAGAACTGTGAGCAATGAATGTCTGTTGTTTATAAACCATACAGTTTATGGTGTTTTTGTTATAGCAGCCTGAAGGGACTGACATGCAGGGTCCGTCTATGTCAACTAGAGGACATACCTCTCAGAATTCCAGCTTTTCAAAACCATAGCAAAGGAAAAAAAGATCCATAAAATTTAGTGATTCTAGAAAATTTTCTGAGAATCTTATCTGGAAAGTCAGCATAAAGCCTGTTTCTTCATTTGTCCCACTAAATGTATACATCATTACAATCACTTTAGGATTAGAGTGGATCTGTTGTCTTTAGCTGAAACAAGAACAGAAAACAGTCTTCTGAAGATGAATGCAAAGATCAAAACTTGTCCAAAAGAGTGCCAGCGGTTCCAGAAGTTGTAGTAATGAAGACAGTAAGGTGAATACACAGGGATTAAATATTGATGGCTCAAATGGGAGTGATTAGTACTAACATTAGCAAGCACTAAAGCTTTTTGTATGAGAGAAATGCAATGACCAAATAGTGGAGAAAAGAGAGATTATTTGTCAAGTAGTGCCAGGATACTAGGAAAAAGCACAATTTCACATCTCAAAAATTCACTTCCAGAGACATCTTAAGAAAAGATCTTGTGCCTTCCCATTTATTTGCTGGTATAGTCTCACAATGATATGACCAGTTATACTCACAGAAAAAAATAATATTGGACCATTGTAAATTGACATGAAGTAACTACTATTTTCATCTCTTCTGCATGGACTAGTTGTTGCTTTTGGGAGAAAAAGAAAAGCAAATGAAAAAGATACATCTGGCACAAAATAAAACCTTAAAATATTTAGAAACAGAATGTAGAATAGATTGATGATATCAAGTTAAATTTATATATTATAAATATACATTTAATATATATTTATATATAAATGTGTACATAGAAATATATATTATGCATACACACACACACACACACACACACACACACACACACACACATATATTTTTTAAGAGACGGGCTCTGGCTCTGTTGCCCAGACTGGAGTGCAGTAGCCAAGTCACAGCTCACTGCAGCCTCTACCTCATGGGCTGAAGTGAGCCTCCTGCCTCAGCCTCCCGAGTTGCTGGGACTACAGGCATAAGCCATCATGCCCAGCCAAATATTTCATAAAGAATAAAAATAAATATAAAATAAGTAAAGAAAATGATTAAGTTTTCACATTAAAACTTTAAATTCTATTTATTAACAGCTGATATTTGCAACAAAGATTCAGGCTTCCATATGTCCCAGTTTGTTCAGAAATAATAGTATATCCTTTCACTTTCAAGTATGTTCTTTTGGGATATAAATAGTTTGACTAGCCTAGACATAAACATCAAAGGATAAATATCTGAAATACATTAAACACTTCAAAACTGTATTTTAAAGAACGATAAAATAGTATTTGAGTTTCAATGCTACATTTCAAAGACAATAAAATATTTATGACCAGTAAAAAAAAATAATCAACCTCACTTGTAACTTGAAAAATAAAAACTAAACTGTAAAACCTTACCATTTTACATCTGTGAGATTGCACATATTTAGAAATCTGACGATAGGCATGAAATCTCTCTTGAAGACAGCAGAAGCTCACATACTGTGAGTCAGAGTGTGTTTTGCTGTGATGTCTTTGTAGAACAACTTGGTTTTATCTGAAAAGTATACATCCTAAACCCATTCTTTTGCCTTCTGGCTATGTTTCCTAAAGAGACATGTAGAATTATGTTCTTATCAACATTGTTGATGATAGCTGTGAAATGGTTAGAACTCACCTGATAACCACCTGAGAGGTTCTTCCTGCCCCTTGCATAAAGACCATGAATTTGTAGTAGAGAAAGAGTTTAATAGACACAAGTCTTCCCATGCCACGTGGGAGATGGAGTACTATGAAATCATCTCATTCAAAGTTCCTAGGTTAGGATTTTTCAAGGGCAGTTTGGGGAAATGGATGGGGGTGGCTAGGTAACAAGTGCTTGCTGCTGATTGGTTGGGGTGGAGATGAAATCATAGGGGATTGAAGCTGTCCTCTTGTTGGGCCAAATTACTTCTGGGTGGGGCCACAGAAGTGGGGTTGTTGGTCCATGTAGAGCCATGGGTGTACGGCATGCAGAAAACCTGGAAAGATATATCAAAAGACCAATCTACAGTAGTGTTTAATTTGCAGGAGTAATTGGGTAAGTTGCATATCTTCCAACCTCTGGAATAATGGCTGACAATCCTTTATGTCTGCAGGACTCAAGTTCCTCTCCACTCCCCAGGCTGATGGCCTCCTATCAGTTTTACAAAAGTGGGTTTGGGGCAAGGCCTATTATCCTTTAAACTGTAGCCTAAATATCTTCCAAAGTTAATTTGGCCCAATAGCCCAGGAATAATTAAGGGAAAGTCAGCATGGGGATTGGGTTAGCTTAGCTTACTGTTATAATTTTCTCACTGATAACAACTTTTGCAAAGGCAGGTACAATGCACATGTTAGTAGGTGGGACATTAACAATGAATAAACTGTGTGTAAATAGGGGAACCTATGATATGCTGTCATCCTAAAAGTAAACTTGCAGTATAGCAATACAATAAAGAGAAATGAAGCATAACTCCATCTATAAGTCTGCATTTGTCTCATAGACAAAGCTTATGGAGAAAATCAAGTTCTACAGGAGGGTATGTAATGTGACCCCAGTCATATGCTGTTAAAACCACTGAAAAATTATGCAATGAATGTACATCTGTGGAGCACAATTGTGTACAAATTGAGGGAATGGTAGGTACATAATTCTGTGGCATGTTGTATGTGGGCTGAAAGTATTTTGCTATGGCTGATCTAACAAATTGCCACAAACTGGATGTCTTATAACAACAAAAATTTATTATCTTACAGTTCTGAAAGTCCAGAGTCCTCAGTGAATGTCGCTGGACTGAAACCAAGGTGTTGGAAGAACTGGGTTCTCTCTGTAAGGGAGAATCTGTTTCCTTGCATGTTCCAGCTTTTAGAAGTTGCTGCCCTTCCTCTTCCCATGGTGACTTCTAATGTCATCAAAGGCATCAACATTGGGTTGATTCTCCCTCTGACACCTTTTTACAATTTTAAGGATCATATGGAACCCACCTAGGTAATTCAGGATAATTTCTTTAAGTTTAGCCTATCAACTTACATCCGCAACTATAATTCCCTTCATCATGGGATATAACATATACTCAAGTTCCAGATAAAATGATGTAGACATCTTTGGGGACCATTTTTCTGCCTAAGATGGTGCACTAGTCTGTTCTCATGCTGCTAATAAAGACATACCTGAGGCTTGGTAATTTATAAAGGACAGAGGTTTAATGGACTTAGAGTTCAGCATGACTGCTGAGACCTCACAATCATGGTGGAAAGCAAGGGAGAATCAAAGGCACGTCTTATATGGTGCCAGGCAAGAGAGTGTGTGTAGGGGAACTGCCGTTTAAAAAACCATCAGATCTCATGAGACTTTTTCACTATCATGAGAACAGCATGGGAAACACCCACCTCCATGATTCAATTACCTCCCATTGGATTCCTCCCAATATGTGTGAGAATTGTGGGAGCTACAATTCAAGATGAGATTTGGGTGGGGACATGGTGAAACCATATCAGACACGAACTGTAATGAGAGGTACTCTTGATCACAGGCTTTGTCATAACAAATTATATTTCCTTGATCTTATAAATATTTGATAAAGTATTTTTAAAAATAAAGAAAATAATATATATTTTTTAAATTTCTATTTATGGCAAGGTAGAGAGATCACTATTTATAGTAGTAATAGGAAGTTTATTTTCAATAAAATATACAAGAAATAACTCTAATGTCAACGAGATTATTGTTTACTTGGATGTAGTATAGGTGGTGGTGGTAGTGGTGGTGGTGGTGGTGGTGTGTGTGTGGTGTTTGCTCTGGAAGCTTAAGAATTTTCTTCTTTATTCCTGATTTAATGAAATGTCACAAAATTATACCCAACTGGATTGATTTCCTTCTTTTTTTGAACTTTCTTTTTTTTTGAAAAATTGGGGACTTAATTTTTAATTTTTATTTTTTTAATATATATTTTATTGCATTTTAGGTTCTGGGGTACATGTGAAGAACATGCAAGATTGTTGCATAGGTACATACATGGCAATGTGGTTTGCTGCCTTCCTCCCCATCACCTATATCTGGCATTTTTCCCCATGCTATCTCTCCCCAACACCCCACACCACACTGTTCCTCCCCTACTTCCCTCCAACAGACCCCAGTGTGTGATGTTCCCCTCCCTGTGTCCATGTGTTCTCATTGTTCAACACCCGCCTATGAGTGAGAACATTCGGTGTTTGATTTTCTGTTCTTGTGTCAGTTTGCTGAGAATGATGGTTTCCCGGTTCATCCATGTCCCTACAAAGGACGTGAACTCATCGTTTTTTATGGCTGCATAGTGAAATTTGCACAGTTCCAATTGAGCACTCTTGGTAGAATGCCTTTCCCCAGTTATGAGAAATGGCAAACTATTATTTTCTTTGATACTGTGTATCATTTTTAATTTTTGCTAAAAATGGTGTTCAAAATTCTGGATATAAATACCATGTCTACTAAAATGTATTATATATTTTTTCACAGGAAAGTATATTATATTTAAAGTATATCTTTTATATAAAATATATAAGTATAATATAGCAAATATATATAATATCTAATATATGTAAGGTGCATATATAGATAATGCATAAAGTATATGGAGCATCAAAAATGTGGATTCACACACACAACATGTATGTTTATATGTTTGGGGACAATTCCTCAGCTCAATTTGTGAGATTATTAAATTTTTCTATTACTCAGTACAACCTATTCTACAGTACCCTTGTTGAAATTTTATTTTCACATGGTTAAAACACACACACACACACACACACACACACACACACACACAATCAACAACAGAAGGAAATGAATTCTCCCCTAGAGCCTCTTGAAGTTCTGTGGACACCCTGATGTTAGCCCCATGAGAACTATTTCTGACTTCTGACTCCTATATCTATGAAGAAATAAATCTGTGTTGTTTTAAGCCATCAGGCTCATGGTAACTTTTTACAGCAGCGATAAAACAACCTAACACAATTACCAATGCTGTATAAAAAATAATATTGTATAGCACTTTAAGGGAAAATGATAGGGACATCAATATAAATTTACCAACAATAGTTATTTTTATAATAGAAAACATTAATAATAAAATAAATGCAAAAGATTAAGAACAAAGTTAAATGCTGTATTCCTGTATGTCCAAATTAAAATCTATTTGAAGCTTCCCTTGACAACCTGTATTTCATGAAACAGCTTTTGTTACATCCAATTTAACGCTCTAAATGAATATGCACCATAATGTTTCAAGATTTTTAAAATTCTAATGGCTTCAAATCATTGTCACGATCAATAGATTTTTTTTTTGTATCACATATGCATTTTTAAAAATCAGTGTGCATTTATGCAAGTATTTGAAGACTGTGCATTTGGTTGTTATACCTGAAGTCTCTCCCTCCTGGTGCCTTTGTTCTGTGTGCATTTCACGATTATTTAGCATGACAGCCTATGATTTGTCTTGTAATTGTTTCTGCGGGATTGTGTCAAAGCCTATGGGAGCATGGGAGTTTGCATTTGACAGGGGCTGGGGACACTAAATGTGAGGTCACTTTAAATTAATTCGGCCAGAAGTGGTGGCTCATATCTGTAATCCCAGCACTT